ATGATGGGGCCCCTCAGCTTTCTCAAGATTGTCCTCCAGACTACCTTGTTTGACATCAAGTATGATTGAAGCTGATCTTCTATGAAACACGCTTCCATACCTGCTGCTAGGGAGAGAGAGAGAGAGAAAAGAGAGGGAGAGGGAGGGAGAGAGAGAGAGAGAGAGCGAGAGAGAGAGGGAGAGGGAGAGGGAGAGGGAGAGGGAGAGGGAGAGGGAGAGGGAGAGGGAGAGGGAGAGGGAGAGGGAGAGGGAGAGGGAGAGGGAGGGAGGGAGGGAGGGAGGGAGAGACAGAGAGATGAGTTAGCAGAGTCGACTGCTAGTCAACCGGTTAGGAGGTGTGAATCGTGAGTGAAACATGTGCCAGCAGAGTCAACCGGGTGGGGTTGGGAGAGAATGGAATGTGAATGAAACATCCTAGAAGTTTGAAACTCATGGCTTACGTGCAGGCGATGATGCGGCTGGACAAGCAAGGGCTGATCTATGCATTGAAAGGGTTCTATCTTCGGTATAACCCAGATAATGCCAAGAACGCTTTCGAGATAGCATCGACTTACATGGACGACCAAGAGGAGCTGAACCATAGGTTACAAGCCAAGTATGGTGAAGACCTTGAGAACTACACGTTTGAAGCCCAGGCCTCGAATTCCTCCAGGCGTCCGCATAGAGATACTAGAGAGCAAGTCGCCAACCTGATCTATATCTCGTCTTCTCCTGTCAAGAACGAGTCACGGGTCCATCGCTACGTCGAGCGGAGTCCTGAGATCTTGTAGTTCCCTCCTCATCCTCGCAAGGTCACTCACTGATGCTTTTCAGACCTGCTGATTTCAACAAAAATGAGAACCCAAACCTGCCGTCACCAACTCCTCCGAGGCAGAACGAGGACGAAGACAACTCCTTTGCTGCGATGTTCGATAAGTTCCTAGAAAGGTCTTCCTTTCTTTGATCTCGGCATTCAAGTGACGCTTTTTCTACTACCTCAGCCTGCCTCTCAGATCGCGAGAGTCCCCCAATGTTTGGATCCATGGCGACCTGCTTGCCTTCGACGGGTTCACAAAGACATGGAAGAAGAAGTTCTTCACTTTCGATGGTCATGTAAGGTTCAATCAGGGATAAGCTTGAAATGACACTTTGCCAGCGCCTGGCATACAACGTGCATGAAGGGTTGAACTATGAGATTGAACTCGACGATACTTCTGAGATTCATGTCTTTCATCGAAGAAGCTGCTCATCTCTTGACTGTATCGTTTGCAGGTGTTGAACCAACCTAAGTTTGGAGAGTATATCTGTAAATGACACAGGCGATATGTGGAATTTGTAATTGCTTGTACAGGTTTCGAAGTGGAGGCTGTAGGTGGAGATCGATACCTGTGCAGGTAAATTAACGGCACCAGAGTGTTCCTCACTTATATTTGTATGCATCAGTTGTGACAGCACCGACACAAGAAGCCTTTGGTTGCGGAAGTTCGAGCAGGTATCCGGTCGGTTGACATCTTTGCGTTGGCTTAAGACTCAGAAACAGGCTGGCATTCCTCTTCACTTTCAGTCGCATGACCCTGACCTACTCTCTGAGATGGTGCGCGTGTTCACCTTCTAGACGTCCAACAACGCAATACCAAGTCAATTTAATGCTTCACAGCGTTTACATTTATTTTGAGCCCAAGAGGAAAAAGACCCCGTAGGAATTCGTAAACTTACAGTATGAAAACGCACACATGCGGTCCTTCACCGTAACATGCTGACAATCACAATTACATGCTGTCTCCTCACCACTCCCAACGAGTATCCATTGTGTGAGCAGTATGCGCCTGGTGGAGAGGAGCATTACAACATGTCTGCAAATGAGAGCAACATCGCTGACCTGTCTTCCTGCAAGTGCCTCGTTGCATCCTATCAATGAAGAAGCGTTCTACAAATGAACAAGTCAAAGCCATTAATATTCCACATGTCAGACATTAAGATTCCACATGTCAGGGACATCAAGATTTCACATGTCAGGGACATTAAGATTTCTGTCATGAAACGTACCAGGCTGTCACAGCTCCCATTCCTTGCTAGGCCCATCAACATGTCATCATCAGCACCTTCACCTTCAATCAGTTCAAGGAGCATGCAGGCACTTCTCATTCACAGACCGAGGAAGTTGTCCTGGCTCCCGCAGCGGAGCAGTCCGTTGAGGTCGATTATTCCTCCAGAAAGGCTCGTCATACTTTCCGATGGCTGCAGACATTGAAGGCTGTTGGTGCTCTCCGACATGAAAAGTCCTGGGCGGTCAAGATCCTCAACGGCCCCAGTGGCAAGACTTTGCTCTGAGCTTGTCGAGGATCCTCCAGGAGGAGTTGGGACATCTGACAGCCCATTGATTCCAGAGTTGTCAGTCTCTTCCTCTGACACTCCGATCGGTGCTTGATATTCCTCCACGGACTTGCGCATCAGAGCGTGATGTAGACTTTCATGCAGACGGGTCTCGTGTGTGGATCCACTCGACTTGCTGGACCCAGATGATAAGCTGCAGGTTTTGAGGTCAGAAAAATTACGGACAAAGGAAACAAAGCTGACCGGTTCAGATTAGCTAAGTTCTCGCAGCTGTTTGCTGGAGACATTCCGCTGGTCAATCTCCTTAGGTTCTCTGTACTTCCTGAATTCAAACGAATCAGAAAAGAAGCGACCAAGAGAAAGCAACAACACTGCATGACTGACCTCCCCATCGCCGTCCCTTGATGAGTAGCGCGTTGGACATGTTGACTCGTCCGGATGCAGCTGACGTCAGGAACTCGTGGGAGTCGGTTCGATTCAATCTCTTCATTCCACCTCCAAGGCTTGTGCCTGCCTCAGCTTGCTTGTTCTCATGGATAGTCTGGATGCCATCATAACTCGTTTCATCTTCGTCTTCGTGCGCAACTGACAGATTTTGAAATCTTTCTGTCGAATTCCCGAATACAGTATCATCATCACTCTTTGGTTCTTCATTCTCATCGCCATCTGGGGAATGAATTGTACTCAAAATAGTGACACCGTTGGGCAATGTCTTGTAGTAGCTCGACGTGGGGTTCAAAGATTGGGCTTGTCGACTGTTGACTGCGCCACTTGATCTGTTCTGATCGTGTGGCGTGTCGACGGACCCTGATACTACAGCCGGTTCATCTTGTCTCGATCGTGACGGCATGTGGATGCTATCTACGTCGTTAACGCCCGACAAAGAAGAAACTATGCCAAGTTCTGGCTTGCCCATAGCTGAGAAACTGCGAGAAGAGCATCAGTCTGTTGGGTCAGATTCAGTTTGACGAACCTCTCGGCTATCTGGTCAGCTGGGGCGATCGAAGCCGCAATGCCCTCATCCAACAAACCATTGGAAGCCCATTTCGAGGCGCCAGGAGGTGGTTGCATCCCGGTCTTTGATGGCTCACTCTTGTAGTCTGTTGCATCGCTGTCAAAACAAGCAACACCGTTACAGTGAATATACACACCCAGCATATTTCCCAAAGCCTTGGTACGGCGCATCGAGCTTGAGATGTTGATGTCATGGTTCAAACTATCATCCACAGGAACACTGGTTGTGTTAACTGGACTCGAGTTGTTGCCGTGAAGGTCATGAAGAGATTGGGAGTGATTTGGCAATTTGGCATACTCAATATTCTGATCATAGTGGTCTGCAAAATATGGCAGGTTTTGGTCATTATTTGACACAACGTTCCCGTATACTTTGTACTGATTGGCTCCATGCATCGTGTTGGAATAAAGATCTTCCTCTGGAATACTGGTGTTGATGCGCTGTTGGTATCCATTCAATCCCGCAATCATTGCACCAGGGTGTTGCATATTGTTCGAGTGCAAGTTTGTGTGAGATCCATACTCAGCGTCATGATCATCTTGATTTCCCGCAACGTAACCATTGCTCTGCATTCCTTGAAGACTTCGCTGTCCTTGAGGAAATCGCATTTGCATACCTTGAGGTGAGTGATACATCCCAATACCTTGGTAACCTCCACCCATGCTCCGTTTCATATCACTGTCGACAATACCTACAAAAAAGTTATACAAAAATTCAAAATTATGCCCCTTTTACGAGACAGCACTAATTTTTCACCTCCTGGTTGTGGCATTCCCTGTTGCATCATTGAAGAAACCCCTCCTTGTATCATAGATTGCTGCATTACAGAGCCTTGCAAACCATTGGCGTGTGGCATCATTCCTTGCTGTGGCATCATTCCTTGCTGTGGCATCATTCCTTGCTGTGGCATCATTCCTTGCTGTGGCATCATTCCTTGCTGTGGCATCATTCCTTGCTGTGGCATCATTCCTTGCTGTGGCATCATGCCTTGCTGTGGCATCATTCCTTGCTGTGGCATCATGCCTTGCTGTGGCATCATTCCTTGCTGTGGCATCATGCTCTGTTGAGCCATGCCCTGCTGCATCATTCCATGCATCATGCCCTGATGCATCATGCCCTGATGCATCATGCCATGCTGCATCATTCCATGATGCATCATGCCATGCTGCATCATTCCCTGCTGCATGACATTCGGCATAGCACATCCCAATTGTGACATCATTTGAGCCGATGGTTGCAGTGATTGTTTCTTGGCAGCGATTTCGGCTCGTCTGCGCCTGTAACGGTACGCTTTGCAATGTCTGTGCAGCAACGAAGCGAAGAATTCGAATCAGAAACCCAAAGAAAACAATAAAGTATTCCACCTGTGCGACGATGAACACTCAGCCTGTGTAGCACAACAACAGAGCTTGCGACACACGGGACAATGCCAGATTCCATTGTGCCAAGCATTGCTATTCTTTCGATCAAGATCGTCGTTCAACTGCGGCGCAAAAATCAGCGCTATCATGCAAGCATCAGGAAAACTACCTGAGTAGTCAAGCAATGTTCACAAAATCTGCGCGCACAACCTTTGTTTTCACAAGCCAACATTGAGCTTGCACGAAGTTTCACGTGCTGACAAAAATGGCAGTACTTGTTATGTTTGCTATCGTCGTCATCATCTCCAGTTGCATCTGCTTCACTGGGCGAGCTGGTTGTGAATTCATTGGTAACGTCTAATCCAGATTTGTTCTCGATGATGTCTTCACTCTCTTTAAGGAATAAAACATATTCAGAAGATCGTAGATTCAGTTTGCTCTGCACACCTTTCTTTACCAGGTCCGTCGCAGAAGATTCGATCTTTGGTGTCACATTCTAACATGTCACGGTTAATCACCGTGCCCCTACACGATATAATCACCTTTGGCGGATCTTCGTTCTCGACATGTTCAGCGGACTTGCCGTCTGAACTTACCGTCATGATGGTGATGTGTGAGAAAAGCTAGCTGGTGGTATCAAGGTGACGAAATGAGTTGTCTACGTTGAAACCGAGGACGATCAGCACGCAAATTATTGAAGCACTTGTAAGCAAGCCGAGACCTTGACAAAGTCAGCGTTAGCTGATTACTCTAAGAACACAAGAGAAAATGTGAACTGTAGTTCCAACTCTTCATCGTTCCATCTCTGACTTTGCTCACAGAGCTATTCCAACATGCAGGGCATATGCGTCTCATCATCAAACATTCATCATTTAGTAATTCGACTGCTCGCTCTTGTCTCGTTCCCTCTTTCCCTCCAAATCGCATCTTTCGCCTTCAAAATCAGCCTTGTCGGTTACCCTGCTGTAGTATTTATCCTCGCACAAACTGCGAGCGCAGCAGAACATGGAATCGAGCTATTCCTTTGCATTACAACCATCTCCTCTTCGTTTCGTGGTGACTGAGATCTGATTCTATCGTCTGCTCTTCTTGTCTTGCCCTCAGCCTCATTGTCCCTTTGAGCATTGACACTACTCTGCCTGCAGACGAGCGGGGGGAGACATCCCTGAGGGGGTGGGGTAGTCATCCACCCCCAGGGAGAGAGAAAAAGGGTAGGGTTCAGATTCATGTATTATTGTTCCGACAAAAGGTGGAGAGGGTTGGTGATGTGGCCTTTAGATTCAATTGAAGAATCACTTGGGGGGACCCCTATGAGTACGATCTTGCTGTTCTCATGTAGTGATACTTGATCGGAATACTCAGGGGGTCGGGTCCCATCGAATCCAAAGGACCCCAAGGGCATATAAACCACAGAAATAAGGATCTGCTATACCGACGAGAGAGGTCCCACAAGGGGTGGTTTGTTGGATTTGATGTTCTGAAGGGGTAGGGCTTGCGGGGCGACGAAATACAACAGGAAATGAGGGGTATTTATGTCGATAACAGTAGGGTGGGGGGAGCAAGGCATGGGGAGAGCCCGGGTAGGGTACTGCAGACCCGAATGTAGCCTTGCATGTGCGAGGCTTGTGTTGTTTGGTATTGAGGAGGAGGGGGTAGGTAGTTTCGTGGAGGTGGAAAAGGGGGTAGGCAGTTGGTGTGGTAGTGGGGGTGCATAACTCTTGCCATGCTGACTGTGGACGGAATCTTTTCTAAGGGGGTGGGGTGATGTATTGAACAGGTCATTTCCGCAGTGGGTAGGGTAGTCAGATTAGCGGAGGTAAGGGTGATCCTGTCGACTACCACAAAAACAGAGCAAAGAGCAGAATTGAATGGGTGGGTACTCAAAAGCATCTTCCAGGTACCAAGCATGTTCCATGTACCGGTACCACTGGTCTCACATGATGGGAGATTGGAGATGGGAGATGGGAGATGAGGTCTTCAAAAAAAACAAAATGTATTTAATAATAAAATAATTGTTAAGAACGGCTGCAACTGGAACGTGAGGGCATCAACATCCATGCATGCCCTTTTGGACTATAGAGCAACTTAATGAAATTCAATCGTACAATGGTCATACAAACTGCCTCCTTCCATCACGAAGTCTGCCATCTTTTTTTGGTCCCCGCGTCCCATCCCGGTAAGAAACATACACCGTTTCGAATCACCATCGAAGGTCAAAAGGACTGAAGAATATCTCCTTTGACTCCCGAATAAACCTTTAAAATTTGAAAAGTCAATGAAGCTTGTATAAAATATTCAAAACAAAATTCAAAATCTATTCCACGTTCAATGATCTATTTTACACTGGCCCGGCGGAGTGTACTCGGCATGCTGCCCCCGCCCCCCCGGGGCCCAGGATTAGTTCGTTACAAACTAACCCTAAATAAACGTTTTCCTGACTCTAAACCCTAAACCCTTCCCTAGCGCATGTCGCTTTAGAGCTTCGGAGCTGACTACGGATCGCAGTCTGTCACCCTTGAGGTTGTCGAACTGCTTCCAAGTGCATCATCTTAAGCCTTCTCTTGTCTCTTCCAAGTGCATCATCTTAAGCCTTCTCTTGTCTCTTCCAAGTGCATCATCTTAAGCCTACTCTTGTCTCTACCAAGTGCATCATCTTAAGCCTACTCTTGTCTCTACCAAGTGCATCATCTTAAGCCTACTCTTGTCTCTTCCAAGTGCATCATCTTAAGCCTACTCTTGTCTCTTCATCAACATCTTGCGCTGCTACTCCCTATTAGCTCGCTCTCCAATAACCTCTACGCTCTAAATTACCGTTCCGTTCCGCCAGAGAAGCTTTCTTTGAATCTGACGATGACATGGCTACGAACATTTTACAATACGTGCGTCCCATGACATTGTTGATGGCAGCGGAAGTTATATGCTGCCGAATCCATCAGGCTGCTGCTTGCTCAGCAAGAGCTCTGGAAACTTGCAATAAGAATCAAAAACAGCTCCAGCTGCGACGCTTGTCTGCCGTCCCTGAAGGATCAAACGCCACGACATTGCAAGAAACCAGTTTTTGTCAGGGACGTCGTCGGATGAAAAGTCAGACTTTTGTATTCCGCCAATTTTCCGTGCAGCAAGACAGGTGTGCTATGAAAGTCGGAACCGACGCTGTGCTGCTTGGCGCATGGGCTGGCATTCCACCTGAAGGAAACTTGGCGTTGGACATTGGAACAGGCACCGGGGTCCTATGCTTAATGGTGGCACAGAGAGCTAGTAAGTATCGGGTGCATGCAGTTGAGATCGAACCTTCTTGTGCGGAACAGGCAAATGAAAATGTTTTAAGGAGCAAGTGGTCTGATCGGATCGAAGTGAAGGGTTGCTCCATTCAGTCGTGGCGCACAAATTGCAATGCTCAGTACGATCTTATCATCTCGAATCCCCCGTACTTCAAACCTCTGCTGAACAAGGAACCAATCGATGCTTCATGTGGAGGGCTTGATCCCTCATCGAACGCGAGAAGAATAGCGCGAGAAACACTTTTGCTGTCACATGCAGAACTCCTGCAGAGTGTGAAGATGTTATTAAAGAAGAGTGGAGCTTTCTGTGTAATTCTTCCTTTCGCTGACGCTGTATCGTTTGAGCTGTTGGCAGCCAAGGAGGGATTGAAGGTGGTTCGGAGAACCACTGTTCATGGGGTACAAGAATTGTTGCGTGCAGGAAACGTTATCTGACCTCACATATTTCAGACTATCAAAAAAGATCCTTTCAGGAGCCTGCTCCAGTTTGAATGGCAACAACGGTATGACTGCTATCATGTTCAGGTTGTCGTGGTGAAAAAATTGAGCAGCCCTCTGCAAGAAACACGCCTCAGTATCTATGAAAGCGACGATTTTTATACAGAAGAGTATGTTTCGTTGACACGAGAATTCTATCAAAAGACGCTTCGAAGGAGGGGGTCTTAGCAAGCCAGTCTATTAATTGAACAAAAAATCGTTTGCCACACAGGTTTGGTGACGTCCCGTGTACCCTTGCCCAAGCCTATTCAATTCAACTTTCTTGTCTGCTCCTCTTTCTTTGTGCAGTCTTCATCGTATAACCAACAGACTTCTTCAAAGCTAACGAGCGTGTTGGAGCAGTGGTGATGTTTCCAGACGCTTCTAGTACCTGGAATTACATCGTGCGAGTGACTGGGCCTCTTTTGTCAGAAAAGCAAATTTCTTGGACCAAAAAGCATGCAAAATGAAACACGATAGGCGAAAATGCGAAACAACTGAAAATGCGAAACAACTGAAAATGCGAAACAATTGAAAATGTACACTCGCTTGCACAAAAAGTTTATACTACCCTTTGATGTCTCCTGACACGAAAACTTTCGCCAAGATTCTCCCAATTCATGAATCACCCGATGGCGGAGACGATGATGACTGCATGGACTCGGGTTCTGTTGATGACTTGTTGTGCGCTTTCCTGGTGAAACAGTGTCAGACCACGACTTGGAAAGATCTCGTGACTTCAACCCAAAGTAATGATTTTGTAAACTTGCAGTGTCCTCGAGCGGGCGACCTACCACACGACCAGTAAACTAGAACTTAATTTGGGCATGACAAGGATCGCACCGGCACGAAAAGAAGTGCTGTAACTAGTTCCGCTTGACTCGTTGTTGGAAGCGGTTGAGTTTGATGCCTCGGCTCCAGATGAACTAATGAGATACCACCAATTTTAGAAGACCAGGCGATTCAAGAACAACTGTGACTGTGCCTTGCATTGTCGGTACCAATTTGCCTCGACACTTTTTGAAAATATTTCTGCGCATGCGTTTTGACCTGGACAACATGGTTTCTATTCATACTTTGATGCAATTGCGGAAATATGTAGCAGACAAGAAGTATTAGCTCACCTGGGTAGACGTTCTCGTACCAACAAGAGTTGCGATTGCTTTGAAATTGCGTTGACCATGAACCTGACGCATGGATATGAGTAGAGGCCTTGAAGACCTGCCTTATTTCAGTGAGGCCACCTTCAGCCCATCGAGGAATCGCTGATGCTCTTGAGCGGTCCAATATCTTGATTTCCATTCCTACCCACGCAGTCAATCAAACCTTAAGGATGTTATCTTCGACGCCACCTGAGGCTGCTTCATAAGCTCCTCCTCCATGTTTTTTTGCTGCACCATGGCCTGAGAGAGGCCTTGTGAGCAGCTGTGCCAAGATGCTACTCTTTGCTGTTGCAATAAGAAACATCAACCTGCAAGTGTCCGAGCTCATTTGATATCTTTTTTAGTCTCTGACATATTTGTGAGGTACGAAAAAGTTTCCACGAATCATTTCTACCATCTTCAGCTCCATATTTTCATGTGCAACTTCGTACAAAGCTATGAGAGTTGTATCTTCAGTCATCTCGGAACCAACCAGAAATCCTTTTACAATCATCAATTTTGCACCAAACAGGAGAACGATAAAACCAAGATGATTTGAGTTGTCAGCGGATATGTTTAATCTGGTAGCATCTACTTCTCCTAAACAAAACTATTACGCACAATTTAAAAAGAATCGCGGTCATTACCTGCTCCAGTCTCGTCATTTTCAGTTGGGCCCTCCTGGCCATGTTTATACACCTAGCATGTTGATCTTAGCGATTCTTCATTGTTTACATATACACGCACAATGAGCGCCGAATGGGATGATGGATTCAGCCATCTTTCACCGATATGATGACAGTACTCTGTAGATAAGGAAACAGAAGTCACAAGTCGTGGAGTGCGCATGCCACAACCTTCGTTCGAAACCGATCGTCCGGCTGCTGGTGGTGCAGAACCACCACGATGATAACCCCCTGGGGAAAAATGAGTGCAGGCACTGCAGTTTCCGATGATACCAGGAAAGTTATTCATTCGACACTTTGTTGATTGCGACAGATTACTGCGAATGATGTGTCAATGTGCAAATGGAGTTGCAAGCACTGCAATCGAACCAATGGTTTGCGTCATGATCGAGACTGTGCTGCCAAGCACGCTCATCTCCAGAAAAATATTCCGGCTGCACTCAATGTTGAGTAAGATACAATCAAGGCCTTGTACAACCTTCACCGCAGCATGGTTCATTGCAGGCCTTTGGTGCACAGCCAGTGACCAATCGATATGATTGCCATACAAGGAGCTCTCCGCGTTCAATTGGCTTGATAGCCAAGCTCCTGGCTTATTCCGTACAACTATAGCCTTGTTAGGGTCTGGATGCTCCGGCTGTTCCGTCATGTTAAGAAACACTTGTGTGACATGCTCAAAATTACCTGAGGATGAAATGATCGCATGATTATATCTTGATCCAACTGCTGAGAAGAGATCTGCGATATATTCCGCTTCCGTATTCCCAGCGTGCTCTCATGAATTGGGATTATTTGGGAAAGGGACCTGAATCCAGACATTTGTTGCCCCAGTTGCGATTAGGACAGAGTTGTTTGTGAATGGCGTGTAAGGCTCCTAAAAAGAATATCTCTCTAGCTTAATGCTAAAGCGCTTGCGGTGTCCGGTTGTGCGTCTGACATTTCTCCCGCATAGGCTGGGTTATGTTTTCCTGTGTTCGGCAGAAACAGCTGTTCCCAAAGAAACAAAAAAATCCTTGAGACGGAAATTGCCGTCATTTCACACTGTTGAACTCAAAGTATCCAGGTCTTGATATTGTTTCGATACAGTTTCAAATTAAATGTGAACGATTTCAGATGTAATCACAAATTCGTTTGCAAGGCATGCATATTTCAGATGTAGGCTTAAGGGCTTTAGGAAAACACCGGTATGTTGCATGGAAAACAAGAGACAAAATGCACATGGGGTGGGGTTATTTCAGTGCCAATCTGAACAATATTCTTTTTACTCTCCTGAAAACCATTTTAACAATGTTTTTATCTTTTTAAGTGTTTGTGTTTTAAAAGAGGGTCGGGTCGTATCTCCCAGGGCCCAGATTGCAATCTCGCGCGACCTCCCGGTCCCCCACCCCCATTTTAAAACAACCCAGTTATAACTTAAGGATGCCGGGCTCTGGTCAAAAACCGTCAGTCTGAGAGGAAGCGGCCCGGCCGGGCCGGGCTTGCCACGGGGTGGCACCGTGCCTGCCGATCGCACGCCGCCGGCGGGGGCCGCGTACCGCCGTACTGACGGTCACCGGCGGGCCGTACCGTGACACCCGGCCATGGCACTGGGCCGTCCAGGCTCACGTCGGTCACCTGTCCCGCGGCCGTACTGAGGCAAGGAAGCAAAGAGAAGATCAACAACTTCGTTGACCGATTCTCTTCGTTGGCAAATCATTACATTGCCTGTTGCATGACGGCGGAGAACGAGGCCCAGGCGGAATATGTAAGCACCGCGTGTACCAAATTTGGGTTAGAACGACACTTCGTGCAGAACTTATCGAATGAGGTAACCGCGAGTTTTGCGAGCCGCTCGGAGGAAGTTGTTACTCTCGCTTGAAAAAGAAAATGCTGGATCGTCGATCAACGTCGGTAGTTTTAAGAACGAAGCCATGTCGGATCTAAGACAGTGCCCTTGAATGCGATTAATGGTAAACTCGGACGCAAAACCGGGACAAAGAGGTCCTGAGGAGAAGAAATCTGATAGGGGACCGAAGTGTTTTCTTTGTGGTAAGTACGGGCACCTCAAAAAGGTCTGTCCGTTGGCTACCGAAGGCAAGAAGTCAAACCCCTGAGGTCGTCTCTCCGCGGCGGAGGGGATGGGCGACCGAGATTCTTCAGGATCAACTATATTTGATTCGGAAGTTCAGAAGTACCTCCGCCAGACTCTCCGAATAGAAAAAAGAGAAGTGGTGGTGTGCAAGATGACAAGTACAGTCCAAACGTACGAGTTGCCGTGCGTACCGATTGAGATTGATGTAATGGGGAAGACGTTTACTTTAATTGCGCTGTTGGACAGTGGGGCAGGAGCGAATTTCATCCGAGTCAGCGGAATGTATGAGACGCGTTGGTTTGCAGAGCCAGCAGGCAAAGGATCATGTTCTTTCCGTCAGCATGGCAGATGGGACCATCAAATATTCGACAGAGATACTCGGCACAAAATTTCGGATTGGTAGTACATTTCGCAGCAAAACAACGCTTCACGTCCTGGATATCAAACTTGATGCAGACGTGATTTTAAGCTACGAGTGGATGCACAGGAACAAGATTCATCTTGACACGGAGACTTTTCGCGTTTACGCACGATACAATGACAGTGTGATAAATTTGCCGACATGCTTGCGAAAGAAAGGAAGTCATGACGAAAGCGTGACGAATTTGTGTCAAATGGTGACTTCAAAAGAAGTGGCCCGGGAGCATGATATTCGGCAGGGGGGAGAATGGTATCAGGTCGTGATACAATCTGCAGTGCGGCAGGATTCCTCTTCAAGCCTGATCATGTGATTTGATTCAGCAGAGGGTCGAAAATATTATGCAACAATTTCAGGACGTCTTGGTGGACGAGATACCTCAGGCTGGGGTGGAATTAAACCGCAAGTTTAAAGCTCAGATAGCCTTGAAGGAAGGGGCAAAACTGGTACAAAAGAAACCATATCCCTTGCCGTTGTCTCTTAAAGAGCCGCCGTCTGAAGGAGACCGTATCACGTACTTGCTCGAACGTGGTATCATTCAACCGAGCAGTTCCGAGTTCGCGTCTCCGATCATCTTCACAAGGAAGAGCGATGGCAGCCTGAGATTTTGTACTGATTTACGCTTTGTGAATGACCTAGTGCGGCATGACAATTTCCCACTTCCGTTAATTTCAGAGCTAGCAGAGAAGATCGGTCGTACTATCCAACGAGAACGACAAAAGTATTCGAATGTGAAGAATGCGCGATTATTTATCAGCAACGCGGATTTGGCTCGTTCTTTTTGGCAGCTTGAAGTGAATCCTGATCATCGACATATTACATGTTTCATAAATAACAAAGTTGGGCAAATTCGAGTTTACGAGACTTCCATTCGGCTTGATACATTCAGGCAATCAGTTTCAAAAGTTCTTAGAGAGTGTGTTGACTGGAATAGATAATTGTTTCTGCTACGTGGACGACGTCGTGATAGTTTCATATGGTACATTGGAGCAACATGAACAATTGATTCGTCGCTCACGCGCTTCAGAGAGGAGAAATTGTTCGTGAAAAAGAAGAAATGTAATTTCTTTGCCGCACAAGAGATCGATTTCTTGGGTTTCAGAATCCGATGGCAATGAACAAGGCATCACTGTACAAATTGACAAGGTGGACGCGATGTTAGCTCGTCCAGCGCCCACTACTGTGTTTCTACCGGGAGTGACGAATTTTTATAGGAAGTTTGTACCAGGATATACGAGCGTTGTCCTACCTTTGCTGGATTTGCTACGCAAGAATGCAAGGTTTGAATGGTCGACGGTACATCAGACAGCTTTTGAACAACTTAAAAAGTGTTTGAGCTCCGCACCTGTGTTGGCGTACTTCGATTCGTCGAACTTGCCTTGAAGAGACACATTTGTTCGTGGACGCTTCTCAAACTTGTATTGGCGCAGCGTTGACGCAAAAGCGGCATGCAGATGACTATCTTCCTGTCGCGTATTTTAGCAAACGATTGTTTTCAGCTCAACTGAATTACAGTACACGTGAGAAGGAATGTCTTGGATTAATCAGTGCCTTGCTGTATTTCCAGTATTACACCCGGCCTATGGGCACAAAGTGACTGTTCATACGGATCACAACAGCTTGCAATATTTGTTGTCGCAGAAGAATTTGCAAGGTCGTCTCTTTCGATGGGTTCAAATCTTGGCAGATTTCCAGTTGGCGGAGGTGAAATACATACCAGGCGAAGACAACAAAATTGCTGATTTCATGTCTCGACCTAACGAGAATAGTGAAGTTCAGAATCATGAGGAGCTCGAGAAAGAATTTGAAGAGCGTGCGGACCTTCTCAATCTAGATCCATCAGTGTTGTGTGTTTGTACAACAAGCACAGAGATGGTCAGGAATCAAGCAACAATGGACATTGGTTTCAACAAGAACGCAATGTTGGACCTTGTTCGTGAAGGATACGAGAAGTCAACGTACTTCAAGTCAATTCTTGAAGGGATACGACAGAATCGTCGAACTCACATGGAGAGCAAATCGTTCTATTTGAAAGATGGCGTGTTTATTTTTCATGATTCTTTGGGAAGGGAACGAGTTTGCATACCAGAAGATGCTAGAAAAAAATTCCTCGAACTTGTACATGATCACTCATGCCATGGGGGCAAATCAAAGACTATCTTGAGAGCAACCAAACTCGCATTTTGGCCAAGGATGAACGCAGACATTCTCGCATACGTCAATTCTTGTGAGGAATGCTTGCAAGCCAAGAGTTTCAAACAACGTTCTGTTGCAGTTCCCCATAGTCATGCGATTCCAAAGGAGCGTTTTGAGAAGATCAGCGTTGATCTTTTGTCAGGATTGCCGGTGTCCAAGAAGGGCAATGACTCCGTCTTGGTGTTTCTTGATCATTTTTCAGGAAGAATCTTCTTGTACCCATGTAAGAAGTCCATCACGTGCAAAGGGTTAAGGCTTTAGGGTTTAGGGTTTAGGGTTTAGGGTTTAGGGTTTAGGGTTTAGGGTTTAGAGCGCCGGTTATTTCAGGCACAGCGCCGGTTATTTCAGGCAGCGCCGGTTATTTCAGGCAGCGCCGGTTATTTCAGGCACCATGGCTGCACGCGTGGTGTAGGGGAAGCTGCCAGGGCGCCAAGGAAGCTGCAAGCGAGAGGTTTGTATACTTCAAATAGCTTTCTAAGTATGGTTCTTCAGTATGATGAAAATGTTCGCAAACTGCTGTATCGGAGATCATGCCAATACACGCAGAGCGGACTTGTGGATGCCTCTGTCCTCGAAGCTGATCTCGTCGAGAGGGTGAAGAGCTTCGCGAAGCGTTACTGAGTCCGAACAGCAGGACAGCCCAGGCTTGCAAGGCTGTGGAGGGATGCACCCCCGACGCTATCGCAGAAGCCATCCGCTCGACATGTCAGCAGGCACGACGTGAGCTTCTGCAAGAAGCGATGACTGGATGGAGTGACGCATCCAGAGAGTGGTTTATGCAGCAGATTGAGGAAGCCAAGAAGGAGAAGGTCGAGACATACACCGCCTCAGCAGGCAACGAGGTAACTTCCTTCATCTCCATGACTCTCCTGGGCATCTCCTCGGTGTATGTCAACCATGAAGAAAAGCTGAAGAAGAAATTTGAAGAGATCGGACTGATCGTAGACTCAGTGCAAGAGAGTAAAGCAATCATGTGGAAGGCTCCGTATAGACCCGAGATAGCGAGTGCTGAGGAGATCCCGGTGACTGTTTCCTTCCTCCGCAATGCACAAGCGGAGAAGCTCTGGCAGGGAAGAGAGGACTTCGCGATCGATGGTCGCAAGTTCACAGCTGTACATGTGAGCATCGTGCACG